AGTGGGAATACACGCTGTGATTGGTGACCACGCTCGACACCAATAAGGGGAAGTGAGGGAAAAACAGCAACGAAGCAGTGAGCTAAGCCCAGGACTCCTTAGGGTAAAAGAAATAGGAAATATTAAAAATATGTGTCAACCAAATCAGAGAAGTTCTAGAACAATTTGTTTAATAGAAATTTGTTCTAATTTATATAATACAAGTTGTTCATAAGGAAACAAGAAATAACAATTGGAGAGTGTGAGGACAATATGACTTCCTTTCGGAAGCCAGGGATAATGTCATAGATTGTCATACAGACAAATTGCCTGTAGTGATCTTCACAGTGGATCAAAATGGGGAATAGTATACAAATCTTTTTCAGTAATCTATACACTTGTTTGGTGAGGTGGAGGATCAGAGAAAAAGAGGAAGACCCCCAGCGAGATGAATTGGCAAAGTGGCATCATCAATGGGCTCAAGTGTGGCAACAATTGTGAGGTTGGCCCAGGACCAAGCAGTGTTTTGTTCTGTTGTGCATAGGGTCGATGGCACCTAACAACAACAATAGCAACAGACTTGTTCAGACCATTATTAAATCTTCTAGAAGAGACCAAATACACTGCAAGTTGCATTTAAGAAGAGCAGTGGATCAAATGGTAGACAAGGAAGAGTTACTAAAATAGGATGATGTCTTGATGGGAACAGGTGAATTTGTCATTCTAATCGCATTGTCTTTTCTTTTTGTCTACTACAGGTAGACCTCGGGTTATGAATGTTAGGTTTACATAAAACCCATAGCTAGAACCAACACTTGTTATTGTTGTTAATTACCTTTGAGTCGATTCTGACCCACAGAGACCCTGTATAGGGGTTCCGAGCCTTTAAATCTTGGAGGGAGCAGAACGCCTCATCTTTCTCCCATGGGCTCAAACTGGTCCCTTGTAGTTCACAATCCATTGCTTATCATATGGTTGTTAAGTGCTGTTGAGTTGGTTCATAATGACACTGTGTAGCAGAGGTGAATGTCCAGCCTGAGAAATCATTTGGTGTGGCCCTGCCAAGGCAACTGCAGTTCTAGTCATCACATCATTGTTGTTGTTAAGTACTGTCAAATCTGTTCTAATTCATAGCGACCCTGTATACGATTTCTGAGGAGCAGCTGGTGGATTTGAACTGCCAGCCTTGTGGATCAGATCCAGTGTTTATCCTACAGCATTATGGAGCTGAAATCAGAAACAACTCCATTTCTCAAAACTGGTGCTGTCCACTAGAAATATAATACAAGACACATCTGGTTATTTTACGTTCTCTGTTGTTGTTAAGTGTTGTCAAGTCCATTCTGACTCATCGAGACCCTGTATAGGGTTTCCAAGGAGCAGCTGGTAAGTTTGAACCACCAGCCTTATGGTTCACAGTCCAATGGTTATCATACGGCGCCATACCAGGACTCCTTAAGTTCTCTAGTATCTACATAAAAAAGTAAAATAAACAGGTGAAATGAACTGTTTAATAATACAGTTATTCGGAGTCCTGGTGTGGCGCTGTGGGTTAATGTGCCAGACTGCAAAGCCATTTGAACTGCAAGGTTGGCAGTTCAAGCTCACCATCTGCTCCTCAGAAACCCTATACAGGGTTGCTATGGGTTGGAATCGACTCAACTGCACTTAACAACAACAACAATACAGTTATTCAGCACAGTATAAACAGATTGATTACTAGAACACTGGTGGTGATAAGCATCGGATTGCTTACCACAAGGGAGAAAGATGAGACTTTTTGTTCCCGTAAAGATTTATAGCTTTGGAAACTCTATACAGGGTTGATATGAGTCGGAATGGACTCAAGGGTACCTAACAACAACAACAACAAACAGATTATTATCATCTTAAATGTAATCAGTATAAAAATGACTAATTAGATACTTTATTCTTTGTGTGTGTGTTCAATCTTTTAAGTACAGTGGGTTTTTTTACCCTCATAGCATATCATCTCAATTTCCACTAGTCAGATTTCAAGTACATTTCAAGTACTCCTTAACCATGTATGGCTACTTTACTGGACACTAGGCTTGTGGTGCGCACATTGTGGTCCCCAAACCAGCAGCAGCAGCAGCATCTGGAAACGTGTTAGAAGTACAAATTCCAAACCTAGTGAATCAGAGAGCAATCTGTGTTTTAACACAATAATTCTGATGCACCCTAAAGTTTGAGAAACATTGCTCTAGATAGCTGCTTCTTCATCCCAGGCTGACTAAATCCTGGGCAGTCATGTGAGTCTAAGCAATGAGAAAGAAGAGTCCTCCCTTCTCTTGAGACAGTTAGATGGAGTTGGTATTTTCATATCTTTTAGACCTAGCTGTGATTCTATTTCTTGGAACTATGGAATGAACTACCATTTAAACATGGTTTAATTTACTGTTTTAAGAAGAAGTTACCCTCAAAAATAGTAACTACCCTATACCATCTATTATATGAGTCACTTAGTTTTCTGCCCTCCATTTCTTCATAGATACAACAGGGATTACTTAATAAATGCTAGCAACTTAAAATAAAACAAAAAACTACTGACTACAAAAAGAAAAAAGTCAACAAAAGTGATTTTTAAAAATCTGTGGACAGGAAAGGCAATATTATAGATTTTGAGCATAAAAGCAGAAGTTGATTCACTTATTATTTCTTAGTGCATTAGATTTGTTGAGAGCAGAGGGAGAGGGTTTTTTTTTTTTTTTTTTTTGCCAAAATCATTAAGGACAATTATTCTGGGCATGCCTTGAAACAGAACTTTCAGTAAACAGGAATTACCTATAAAGAAAATCAGGAAGCCAACGTGTTTCTTTTTATGAAGTTACATCCTGCCATAGAAAAGCTGGATAGGAGATAAAGACTGATGCACTCCCAACTGTGTACTAAACCGGTTATTATTTCATCAAGGAAAATCTGAGCAAAAGCTCAGATTCAGTGTAGGGGAAAAGCCATGAGAAGTTTGAATGCAATGAGGAACCAAAGACAACCACTGGTTACAATTAAATATGATTTGGGAGGGAAATGTACAAGCAAGTCTCTACTCTGTGATTGTGTGTTCCATAATGGCCGCCTCTGCCTTTCTCCTTTTCAGTTATCCTAGAAATTTTTGTTTGAAAATAACATATACTTGTATCCACGAAAATAGGAGACTAATAAAATTACTAAGTTTTTAAACTTTTATTATTGTTTTATCATTTTTCGTTATGTGTTTCCAAGGTTCTCCTAGTTTTTTCATGTTTCTGTGGCGGATTATGTTTTGTTTCGCATTCTCAGTTTGATAAGAAGAAATGTTTCCCCACTCTAACACTTTCCCTTTTTATTCTGCCACCTTCAAATGAAAAGACATCCCGTTTTCAAGGTAGGTTCTCTTCTTTAGGAGAACAGGAGATGCCGATCTGCAATAGCATTAGCTACTTCCCGCAAAGCAGAAACTGCTGCTCACACCTCCTCTCCTCGCCCTAACCCAGCACCTCACAATTGCAAAATCCTTTTTAAAAAAACCACTCTTCAAACTCCGCATCCCTAGCACACCCTCGCACACCCCACACTTCGTGCACGCCAGGATACGCGCTGCCACAGTAACGCTCCGCCCACTCCGCGGCCCCACCCACTGTAGCCCAGCCCCAGCCCCAAAATCCAATGGTAGCCGCTCGTAGCTCTCACGGGGCCCTTTGATAGGACAGCAGGGGCTGCCATTCTCAGGGCCTGTCCCGCCCCCTCCTCCCTTCCCTCTGGGGCTGGAGGGGCAAGAGCACCAGCAGGAGTAGCTGCGAGCAGCCGCGGCGGCGCTGCGCGTCGTTGCAGTTGCGCCATCTGTCAGGAGCGGAGTCGGTGGGGAGGGGGCTGCTTGGGAGAGAAGGAGGGGTCGCGGAGATCCGCCCGCCGGCCAGCCGCAGAGCAGAGGCAAGGCTGCCCTCTGAACCACGCGTTCTTCTCGGTCCAGGCGCGCGGCACTTCTCCCGCGCACCCAGGGCTCCGGGCTCACACAAAGCCGCCGCCCGCGTCTCACGGATCCGGCGGCCGGGCCGGGGACGCCCGGCACCGCCCCCTCCGCGATCTCGGAAGGCCCTGGGTTCACTGGACCGCCTCGGCCGCGCCGGAGGAGGGCGGGGAAAGGACCATGTGAATGGGCTCCGGAGCCTGAGCGCCGCGCAGGTAAGCGGTCGGGGATGCTGCCCGGGCGCCCGGCCCTTTGCGCCCCCACACCGCGCCGCCCCCGCCCGGGGCCCAGCGCTGCAGCCACTCAGCCGCCGCCTCCCGAGCGGGCTCTCGGCTGGCTGCTGGGGAGTTGGCCATGCTCGGGGGCTTCCAGCGGCCGCGCGGGAGGACACCTCTGCGGAGGCGCGGGGAGAGCGCTGGGATGCGGGGCCGCTTTCCTCGCCAGCCAGCGGGCGCGGAGTTAGACTAGAAATTGACTTGGGGGCGAGACTGGCCGGGACTCGGGCTCCGCCCCCGCCCTCCTTTCGGAGCCCCCAGCGGGGACAGGGCTGTGTGTGTTGTTTTAATGTCTGGGATGATGTAATCACTTAATAATTGATGCCCCGTGCTGCTTCTCTCCTCACCCACCCCACCCCACCCCACCCGTGCCCCGCTCCACCTCTCGGTCTCCTCCTCCCTCTGCGGCCGTCGTCTTCCCCTTCGCATTCTCCTGCCTATTTCTGGCATCACCCTTGCACTTCCCCCATCCTCCCTTTCAGCCTTCCTGTGCCAACACCCACCCTTCCCCTTACCTCCTCTTCCTCTGCGCCCCATTCTCCATCAAGCTCCTTTCTCCTCCCTTCCCTATCGCTGGATTTCCTCTCTACTTCCCTAGATCTATGGCTGTTGTTGTTTGGTGCCTCCCTTTTCTTATCTATGCGACCACAGGCGGAGATGACTGGACCAGAAAGAGGCCACCGAGCTTGGGTTCCGGGAGGTTTGCTGGGACTCATTGAGAGAAGGGATAATAGCATCACCCTTCTTGCCTCTTCTCCCCCCTAATAAATCACACAGGATCCCCGGGTGTGTGTGTGTGAGACACAAAGAGCTCTTTCAGTGCATAGAGAAGGAGACACACAAAGTACCCTAGGATGGGCCTTCTTGTTTCTTTTCCCTGGAGCCTCCCTATCTCTCCGACGAAGCAGTTGATCTCTCTGAGAGTCTTTCCTGCCACATTTACCAAAAAATGAAAGGCCCCAGGTGCGGGGTGGCAGGTGCCGGCATTTTGCTGTGTACTTGAACTGGCAGTGTTGACTGGCAGCTGCAGCATTTCCTAGATTTAAGGAGAAAATGGTAACAGCCGCCTTAATAATTAGTTGCTTTACTGTTCTAGGTAGCTCCTGCTTCCTCCCCACCCCCCGCCTTTTTTTGAGGGGGATGGGTACCACAAGTTGGGGGTTGCATAAATTGGTGTGAGAACAGAAAAAAAAATGTTTCTGAGGCAGAGAATTAAATTGGTGTTTGATAAGAGTGAGCCAGCCGACTTGCTGCTTCTCCCAAGTCTTAAGGCCACAGTGCCAAAGTCTTTTGAAATGAAATCTTAGCTACCCAGTGATGTTGGTTTACCTTTATGTTTAAATAAGTTTTTAGTGTCCCCAGACAGTAAAAATCAGTGTTGAATGGCACTGGAGAAGACCACTGAAGACTGTGGCTCTTATCTGCTTTCAGCGTAGCCTTCAGACGCCCACATTCTTCCTCCTGCCACCAAAGCAACTGCAGTACTTTCCATCCTTTGTGCCCTCTTTCTACCCAGCCTGGTGGGTACAGAGCTTTCAGATGAAGGAATGCACTGACTTTTAGAGGAAGTGGTTTGTTAACTATCTGAGGCTGTGGGGACACTGAGATATGAATGAATATAGAGAATCTTTTGACTGAACCCTTAACCATCTGCTGGATGAGCCTCTTGAAGAGGAAATGTTCATGTATGTAAATCTGGGGACTTAAGTTCTGTTTTGTAAGCCAGTGACTATTACTTGCTTAGTGGATAATGTCTAAGCTTAGGTTAGACATGTTCATCCTTAAGTGCATGGCTCCTTGACTGTTAGTAAGTGATGTTGTTGTTGTTAGGAGCTGTTGAGTCAGTCCCTATGCATAGTGATCCTTTGTACAACAGAATGAAAGTCATACCACATCAGCAAATAAAGGTCCTAAAAGCTTTACTCTATCCATGTTATTAAGGTCCGCCTCTATGAGTACTTTCAGGAAGGAGCTCTTTCTTCTCAAGACATATTTTGAGGATGTTCCAACCTGAGGGGTTCATCTTCCAGCACTATATTCGACAATGTTCCACTGTTTTCTGTGGGGTGTTTCCTGCTCCTTTTTTTTTTTTTTTTTAACAAGGACTAGGAAGATCTTCTAGAAGCTGTCTTCTTTCTAGTCTGTCTAAGTCTGGAATCTGTTGAACCCTTCTCCACCATGGGTGACCCTGCTGGTACTTCAAAGACAAATGGCATAGCTTCCAGCATCACAGCTACACACAAGCCACCACAACACACTGACAGGCAAGTGGTGAGTTCACAGTAATAGAACAAGTTTATTCTTAAAGACTTTTACTAGAAAAGAGTCACAGTTCATTAAACATTTACTTTTGCACTTTCTGAGGATATTCATCGTGGAAGTTTTACATTAGAAAAAGGGTTAATGAGTGTACTGTTAACACAAAACATTGTTTGTTTGAATCCAGAGCCAGGAAGGAGAGCCAGTGCATAATAAACTCAAACTCTGTTGACCAAGTTAAAGAGACTTCATGGATAAGGTTGAATGTGAACAAATCCACACTCTGCTTTCTGTGTTTTTACTCCATGCTGTCTCCTAGGTCTGAAGTCCCCAGTCCTGTCAGACTTGCTTATTAGTGAAAGGCTTATTTAACCTTCAGGACCCAGCTTAAATACCATCTTTTTCTATACCCTCTAAACAAGTTCATCATGCCTCTTCTGCCTCTGTCTGTCCCCCACCTACTACTTTGTTTTCAAACTTCAGTATGATGTTTAGCAGTTGTCTGTTTCCACCATTGGTTGGTTAGCACATCTTGAAAAGGAACTTGGTCTATTTATCATGTTTCCTACCAAATGTAGTTCTAGTGTTAATTAAGTCCTTGGTATGTACCCAGGCACTGTGTGTTAATTGTTGTTAAGTGCCATCGAGTCAGTTCCAACTCACAGTGACCCAATGTAGGTTTTCCAAGGGCTTAAACTGCCAACCTTGTGGTTCTCAGTCTAGTGCTGATCCTTCAGCGCCACACCAGGAGTGTATTAATTAGACTAAAGTTAATTGGTTTAACAAATCCGTTACCTCCACTACCACCACCAACCCCACCAGTTGGTGACCCCACGTATGTCAGAGTAGAACTGTGCTCCACAGGGTTTTTAGATGATGATTTTTTTAAAAGTAGATCACCAGGTCTTTCTTGTAAGGCACTTATGGATGAAGTAAAACTTTCATTAGCAACCAAGTACGTTGGTCATTTGTACTTTCCAGGACTCTGGTGAACAGGTAGGCCCTACATAATATATGGTGGTTGTTGTTTTCAAATGCCATTGAGTCAGTTCTGACCCATAGCAACGCTGTATAGAGTTTCCGAGGAGCAACTGGTAAACTTGAACTGCCAACCTTGTGGTTCAAAGCGACTTTGCAGACTAGTGCATTAGCCCACAGCATCACATAATATAATGGCTCAAAAGTTGCAAACTTTCATTCTTTTTCATGTAATAGTCCAATATGATGTTTCTGATTAATGAGTGGCTTTCTTCCATGCAGTGATTTTAGGCTCTGTTCTCCTGTCTCGTAGCTCCACCATCCCCTAGAGTTCCACCGTAACCTGCTTTCAGCTAACAGAAGGGACAGAAGAGGAATTGGGAGAGTACACCCATTTTAAATGCATGTCCCAGAAATGACACCCATCACTTCTGCTTTAGGTGAGGGCTAGTTAGATGGCCACTTTTAACTACAAGAGAGCCTGGACATACAGTTCAGTTGTGTGCCCAGAGAAAAAGGGCAAGAAGAAATGTGTGATTGGTGCATAGCTTTGCCACTCAACAAGGCTCAGTCCCTGTCCTCAAGGAGTTTGCAGACAGATGGGCATAAATGAAGTGGAAGTTTACAGACTATACCCATTTGCAAAAATGGCATGGAAGCCATGTCTGACTTCAGTCAAACTCAAAGTCAACCCAAGGCCAATTCCTATCAAGTGGAGGTCAGACATGCCTCCACCCTACAACCTTCTTTACCCTGTTCTAATACCAACTAGCTTCACTCTGCTTCACATCTGGGTTCAATAATCCATTGCAATGACCACACAAAACTCACAGACAATTCTCAGGATTATGGGGTTTATTAGGAAAGTGAACAGGTACAATACAGGATCATAAACAACTCAACAGTTCGCCTGCCAGGAACGCCTCTTCTCCGACATACTGCAGGCACACCGTTCTCTTCTCTCTGAACTCTCTGCCGTGTGGTCTCTTGGCTGGGCAAGTGTTGTAAGGTTTCTGTAGCCAGTCTGTAGATGCCCAGGGGACACATTCTGCAAGCCAGTTTGCTATCTACAGATACTCAGCTTTACTCCCAGCAAGTCTGCAGCTGCTCTCGCCATCTTGCTCCTCTGCTGCTGCCACTTTCCCAGGTAGGGATCTCATTGAGTTGGTACCAACTCATAGCGACCCTATGCAACAACAGAACGAAACACTGCCTAGTCCTGGGCCATCCTCACAATTATTGCCACGCTTGAGCCCATTGAGGCTGCCATCCCGCCAATCCATTTTGCTGGGGATCCTCCTCTTTTTCTCAGACCCTCCACCTTACCAAACATGGTATCCTTCTTCAGCGACTGGTCCTTCCTGACAATATGTCTGAAGTATTAGACACGGAAGTTTGGTCATCCTGGCCTCTAAGGAGTACTCTGAATGCACTTCTTTCAACACAGATCTGTTGGTTCTCCACTCATAGTTCTTTTTTTTTTTTTTTAATATCGTGAATTATGTGATAGTTTACATGGGAGAACATTAGTTTTACATTCATCCTATCATATATTGTTTCATTGCCATGATTACAGTCCCCTCCATGCATCATCATAGTTCTTTTTAGATGATTCTGGGATCATCTGTTCCTGCTTCAGAGATGGCTCCTTTTAAATCTAGTTGGATAGCAAAACTAACCAATCCCATCATTAAGAGTCGTGT